AAAGCCCAGAAGAAATTGGGAGAGTGTCTTAAGATTCTATTCTAAATTATCTAATATTGCGGCTTAATTAAAAAAAAGGGAACAAATAAAAAAAAATCTAAAAAAAAACACATTTAAAAAATTGTCTAGAGAACCGACTAACTGTTTAGACGCTCCTACAGATAATCTAGAGGTTATTAAGGCAATTAGAGCCTTGAAACACCATAAAGCTCCAGGTCCTGATGACTTCCCTGCAGAGTTTTATAAATAATTATTTGACACCTTATCCCCATATTTGACAGGTATTTTCAATGAAGTCCGAGATTTCGGAACCTTTCCATCTGAAATGCTTTATTCTACCTATACCAAAGAAAGGGAAAGACTCTACTAAATTATCCAACTGCAAACCTATATCACTGATTAATACAGATACGTAAATATATTCTGCCATTTTGGCGGCGCTATTAAAAACATTTGTACAATATTAATACAAAAAGAGCAGGGTGGATTTATTAAATGGAGACAATTGAATGGCAATGGAAAACCATTAGCCTAATATGCATGTTCTAATAAAATGCCATCAATATTTGTCTCGCTCAAAGCCAAAAAGGCTTTTGACAGGGTCAGCTGGACCTTCTTAGAAGAAGTCTTTACTGGCTCTGTCATGACCTTATATACTTATCCAACTTAGTTGGACAGGGCCTTAGATTTAGAACGGTTTAATATATACAATTGAACAAGGTAGGGATGCCCTGTTTAGAACCTTTTGCCGCAAGAATAAGGAATAATATACATATTAAAGGTATCAAGATAAGGGACATGGAAAACAAACTTAGTATGTATGCCGATGACACCTTATTATCCATATATGACCCTGGAAAATCTCTGACTTTAATGATATATAAGAAATCCAAAAATATAGCCTTTTTCTAATTATAAAATAAATTTGAACAAAACCCAAGTATTTGATATTTCAGTATCAGTTTTGGAAAGAAATAGAATGAGTGAAAATTATGATTTTCATTGTGTAATTGAGATGACTTACTTGGTAGTTAAGATTCCAAAGAATATAAAAACAATAATCAAAGTTAATTACTCAGCTCTAGGGATGTGCAGGGGCAAAAAATTTGGTTCGGCACTTCCGGAATTCTGGACTTCAGCACTTCAGTTCGGACTTCTGAAATTTGGCAATTCGTCACTTAGTCACTTCAGTTCAGCACTTCCGAAATTCGGCACTTCGGCAATTCGGGACTTCAGGAATTTGAGACTTCGGCAATTCCCTATTCCCTAACCCTACCCCCACACCAAACCCTACTCGGGTTAGGGGTAGAGTAAGGGCTAGGTTTAGAGGAAGGTTCGGGTAAGGGGTACGGTTAGGGCTAAGGTTAAGAGTAGGCTTAGGGGAAGGGTGAGGGTTAGATTCCTGCCATCATTGCCTTAATTTTCCCTCTCTCTCCTGTTTTGTCACTTTTCAGAAATCCGAAGCAATGGCAGTACTTACTGAGAATGATACCATTGCAATTGCCTTTATGTTGGATTAAAACATTCAGGGCAAATGTTAATAGATTTGTATGGGATGATAAGAAACCCAGAGTTTAAAAAAAAGAAATGATTTGTTCCAGTCGCAGGAAGGGGGGACTAAATAGGCCTAGTTTAGAACGGTACGTGGAGTTGAGTATGCTGTGCTATATATCTAAGCTTCAATGTAAACACTGTAAAGATAAAAACTGGTATCATATAGAACGAGAACTTGCAGGGACGGCTGATCTGGTATTATGGCTTCATTATGATAAATTTTAAATATTACACAAAGATCATATGTCAACGATTACTAGGAATTGTATGGACTCTGGACAAGATTTAAAAATCGTATAGGTATGAAAGATAAGGTACTGCCTTCATCTCCTTTGGAAATTCTAAAGAATAATATTCCTCACTTAAAGTTTAACAACTGGATGGGTTTTAAATGCTATAGAATAAGAAATGTTATGTCTGAGTAGGGGTATTAAAATTAAAACACAGCTTCTCAATGAATACGCATTGAAAGAGTCAGAATTTTTAACTCACTCAGAAAGTGGTACTATTTAAAATCTCATAAATGTGATAACAATAGAAATAAAATGGCTTATTATATTTCAAATATTTTAAATAATAGGGTTGTGAAAAAATAATTGGCTCAATGGTACGGCATACTAGAAGAACTGGATAAAACATGTAATTAAAAACCTTTTGAGAGCTGGCAAAGGACACTGGACTTCTGATTGAATCCAGAAGACTGGATAAATAGTCTAATTGGAGTTAATAAGATTACTCACTGCTTAAACATGGTTGAATTACATTATAAAATCATGCTGGGACTTAGTCCCAGTAAGAATTGCAAAATATAATTTAGATATGAGCCCAAACTGTTGGAGATATATTGAAGCAGAAACTTTCCAACATATATGGTGGAGTTCTAATAAAATTAAACAGGCATGGTCCGATATTTTTGGCTTTCTTTCTAATCGAATTAACACCATTGTCCCACCAACGATTCAAAGGGCCCTATTTCATATGGGTTTATATGTGTTATCAAAAAATGACAAGGCTTTATTTATACAGAGTTTGCTGGCTGCAAAGATCGTTATAGCTAGGAATTGGCGCCAAAATTATATAATAAGGATAGAGAATATAATGAATCAAATGAAACATCAGGCCCAAATGTAAAGGAGATTCTACTCTGTACAACAAGCATGTCAAACTCAAAGTCTAGCATGGGCCAAATAAACAAGTTTTAAGTTCTTATGGGCCAAAAAAAAAATCCCTTTTTTCATCAAACGCAAGTTTGTTTTGAAGAGTACAGTATAAAAAACAGCACCCCCCTCTACTTAACCCCAGTTCCCCCAGCTATACTGTCCCCCCTCAATACTAATTCCCAGTCCCCCGCTCATTACTAAATCCCAGTCCCCTCTCTATACTAAATCCTAGTCCCCCCCTCTACTAAAACCCAGCACCCCCCTCTACTAAACCACGGCCCTTGTTAAAAAAAATATATATATATATATATATATTAGCTAACAAGCAGACTCCACTCACATTGGTGCTGCTAGTATGCAACTCCAGAGTACAGCCTCTGGTATACCCCAAATGGCGCTGTCCGCACCCTGTGCCAAAGCGGATCCTCACACTACTCCTTGAAACCCTGTGAAGGTGGAGCACGGTGACGACACGTTGGAATGTGACATGGTGTTGCGTGCCACGGTGCACCACCAGGTCCTCCACTGTTTAGCCGCGACCATCGCAAAACTGATCAACACACACTCACTCTGACAGACACACACACACACTGACAGACAGACACATACACACACTCACTCACCGACAGACACACACACACTGACAGACACACACACAGACTGACTGACACATACACTCACTGACAGACACACACACACACAATCACCTACACATTCTTGCACACACTCACATAATTTGATTTATTGTTCCCCACCTTTGGGAGCTGGTGTGGGGCCTCTTTCCGGGGTCCAGTCGGTATCTTCTCTCGGGAGGTCTCCGTTCCTGTTCCTCACTGTTCCCTTGCATGCCGTTTAGTGATGCCGGGTCAGAATGCCGTCATATTCCAGCATCACTACAGATGGCGCGCACGAGGGAGCATTGTGGAGGAGGAAGACCTCCCGTTAAATTTTAGCAGAGTAGACACCTGCAATTTGGGGAAAGCAGGTGCCTACTCTGCCTTAGTAAACATGTCAAATTCGCGGCTCGCCGGGCGGCAAAGTTATTCATTGTTCGGCCTCAAGTTTGACATGCTTGCTGTACAACTTTGTTATGGAAAATATTAGCAAACGTGCAATAGTTGACTATTAGAATACCCACGCTCATGGTCCACCCACCTATTCCTAACTAGAATATGTATGGCAGCTTAGGATAGTCCTTTCCCCACGTCACACACAACACAATTCTCTGTAGTTATTATTGTTGTCTTTATGTGTGGCAGTATTTGCATTCGTAGCAATTCTTTGTATAACAGAACATTTCTGTGTAAAAAATATGCAGACATGCCGTTGTTATACAGGGGATATACTGATGTTTAATATTGTGTTCCAATGCATATGTTTGGTCTATGTTATTGTAAAATTCTAACAAAATATTAGAAAAAAAAAATGGGTCATTTGTATGAGCTTGCATCCTAGGCCAAAAGTTGCCAGCACTATCCTGGCTGACTATACCAAAAATCAAACCAATGTCTAAACAGATACTAAAGATATACTATCTGGTGAACTATCCTATTAAAGTACCACTGTAGGCACCAAGGCCACTTCATCTCATTAAAGTGTTGGATGCAGTAGCCCTGTATTTTTAGTAATGCAATGCAACACATTGTCATTTTGTAGATAGGGCAATGTTTTAACTGCATGGCTATACACAACTCTTATGGCTTTCTTCTAGATAGCCACTAGAGGGTGCTTTGATGTTGCATGATGAATGTCATCAAATGCGGATAATAACGATTCAATACTTCCCCTAGAGACGCGTTTGATTAGATGAGCATGGCCCTAGAGGCTCATGTTCTTCTCATAATCCTTCTCTATGGGAAGTGGACAGGAAGAGGATTGAGTAGGATGTTATGGGAGGTGAATAAGGACACTGTTTGGCGCTAGAAAAAAGGTATGCAAAATATATTTAACTCGTATATTTCACCAACGCATGGACAGAGGTCATGGTGTTAGCAGGGAAAATATGGTACAGAAAAAAATTAATATTTTCAGGATTATAACTTCCCCTCATTTATCTTTTCAACTGAGTCCTTATATTTGATTTATGCTTTATTTGAAAATGAAGGTAAAAGCATGCAAAACAATTAAAATGAGAATTGGGTAAAACCAGCCGTAGGTACTGATAATTGTTACTGATCATTATTTTTCTATTTTACAGACGATTTACAGGAACTAGTTCTATTTACATAATATAAACATAAATTTATATATATAATTATTATTTTATCTTATATATTTATTCAATCTGTAATATATAAATATAGATTTATTTGTTTTGTTTTTTTCTGCTCTTCTTGTTTTCCTTTAGTGGTCACATCTCTCACTTGATTTGTGAATATTATCAAAATGTAGTGGCTGTCTTCTAAACATCAATCTTTTTTTCCATCAATCATTTCTTTTTTATGGTGCCACAGATGGAACTCCGAATCTTAAATCAACAGTTTGTTTGCTTAAACGTCCATATAGTGTTTCAGAGATACAGAATTCGGGCAACACGCTGATCAGCCTAAATTCAGACACACTGTAATTTGCTGAAAACAAATGTACAATTCCAGTAATGATATGAAGCAGTACACAATCTATCTATTGCTTATCATAGCTGTACATGGATTAAACCTATTTCTTTACACTTCTCTTTTTTTGTAAAGTGTCAATATCATTTTTGAATGGTTGGTTGTCTTATCTGGGTCCAAGAGACCAGCTTCCTCAGTCTCAAGCAGGAACGTCCACTCCAATGCAGGGCTTAGCTCATTGGCTGAGAGTGTCAGTTTATTGGAGTGCTTAGTCCAAGAGACCTTACAGAAGCATCTGCTGAGGAACTTCTGGCTCTTGGGAGGTTGTAGTGGAGATAAGAGTGGAACCCAGCAGATACCAGGTAAGCAGTGAAACTGTTCAAAAAGATTTGACTCTTTACAATGGAGAGGCGCCATGGCACTCCTGAACCATAACCACTATAGCTTGATGTGGTGGTTATGGTGCTTTGACCATAAAAACATATAAAAGAACATATAAATCCAGATAAAAATTCAAAGGACAATTAGTGAACATAAAAAAAAAAGAAGAAAGGGAAGAGGTAAAATCACCAATTTCAACAAATACTTACAAATTACATACAAGAGCCAATTGTTACAGCAGTTATAAAGTCAAATACACTATAATAATATTTATAACGGTCATACACCTATTAATCTAAATATAAATAATAAAATCAAGGGTGTAAAATTATATCACATATTATGTCACATTTAAATAATGTGACCTGCTGCTGGTGGGAGTGCCCTATGAATCATTGAGAGTGAGAGTGTTTTGAATATTGTGGACTTTCTACGATCCCTGTTGGGGGTTTGTCTTCCTACACCGCAGGCTTTTTTGAAGATCCCGGCCGCGGTGTAATAGTTTATCTTGTGCAGACGGAGTATCATCAGTTGCTGCAGGTAATATACTTTCATCACACCGCGGTCTTTTTTGAAGATCTCGACCGCGGTGCAACGGTTAATTCCCCTGGAGGGTCTGCTATCCGCAACTATTCATCGCTTTATTGATTTCATTACACCCTCTCAAGGCTTTTATCATTATTTTTTATTTGTACCTCAGTGGGGGCCCACACCGAGGAAAGGTACTTTCTGTATTAATTTATTGATTTGTATTTCATCTGTGGTTACATTGTGGGCATATGGACTCTTAGACACTTTGTTTTATACATTGTGTCTGGGGCGGTCTATTTTGCCTACTTTTGTATCCATATTTGTACGGCTGTATTTGCCTTTTCTAGGATCACTTTCTGTCATACAGCATTAGATTAGGGTGGTCATGATTTTATTTTTGATGTATATTATTTACTTATATATATAAGTTTTATTTTATTTTAATAAAGCAAATTTATATTTGCATCTCATAGATTTCTTTTATTTTTATTACATTGACGAGCGCACATACTTTTTTGAGTTTTGAGCTTACACTCAGTTTTAGTCACTTGTGGATGTATGTAGCTGTTCATATTTTTATTTTATGTTATACATTACACCTTTTTCCATCAGTTTTTCACATTTAAATAATGTCTTGTAGCTATATACTAATCACATTTGTCTAATGTTATATCAAATGAGGATTTTGGTGAATAGATAGGCCTGATTTACATTTTTACATTTAATTATGAATTCCTGTCTAGATTCCTATCTATGGAATATTTAGTAAATATTGAACTTGAGATTTCCTCACTAAAGCTATTTTTTTTTTTAGTCACTATTAATAAATGGTAATCTCTAACTATTTAAATTGTGGAGACTGACAATCTGGGGACGTGGATATATCAACTTATAGATTGAATGATAGTTTTTGAATTTAAATTCAGTAGAGTTAACTTCTCTGTGGTCTAGCCACCACTGCCCTTTAGTGTGCATGGAAATATCATTCAGGATTTTCCGTATGCAGACTTCATTATCCAATACATAAATCAAAACATGTTATTGGAACCTTGACGCTTAGACGGAACACATTAGGAATATACTCTGCTTCACACCCATATTAGGTAAGTAGTTAAATAGATGATTCATTGTGTTATCAAATACCCAAAATGTCTATGACATACAGACTTGCTTCTGTTCTGCACATTTCATTGCCTGAATAATATCTCTGATTGAGCGTTTTAATAAAGTCACATCTTTACTGTGATCCACATGACGGAGATCTTGCTGCACAATTTTGAGAATGTGATGAACCCAAGACTTTTGATATTTTTTCCAGCCATCAGATTTTAAACTGTCAACTTGGCCTTTCACATACTTAAAGAATTCGTCATCTTCAGTTATTCTAATTACAACCTTAAGATCTCTTCTCTTCTGCATTAATTCCTTAATGTTTTTCATCCCAATACCATTAAAGTTGTTCATGCACAGTCTGAAACAGAACAGGAAATGAGAAACAAAAGTAGCATGTAAATCTTTATATATATTAGATGGATGTGTGTCTTGTAGATCTCAAGTATATTTCATAAGCCCTACTACATACATACTGTTTGCTATCCCAGAGCCTATAGTACAGAGAAAGAGATGACACCACTGTGAGAACCTATTTATTTCATTTATTTTGTTTTTGTAAATTTTTTTACTGCAGGCAGGTGAGATATTTTCTGTTAAATATTGTCTTCCCCACCCCTTTAAAAATGTGCCATTGTGTTGTGATAAGTCACTGTGTATTGCTAGCTATGGTTTGACTGTTTGTGATTTTATTGAGTTTTCACAGCAATGTTAATGTGGTGACCCTATGGGCTGGTCCCAAGGGAAATAAAGGTTTAGACAGTTCTTCTTGATCCCTCTAAACGTAGCCTTGTCTCGTTATTGGAGGGAGCTGTTAAAATCACACTGGGGATTGCTATGCTCTGCATACGCCCTTGAGCTTGAATCACTTCGCTCTTTTAAGAGCTTGTTCCTGACACGCTCTCCTTGGAGGAGAGGTCTTCCCCACACAGTCCTGGATGCTGGAGGCTCATACAGGGTGGAAGGAAGAGGTCTTTCCCACACAGTCCTGGAGGACAGAAGATGATCCAGGGTGGAAGGAAGAAGACGAGACTCCAGTCAAGCTACAGCGGTTGCGGAGTCTGCGGTGGTTGTGGTGTCCGGTGTGGTGCTTGTGGTCCTCGGCGCAAGCTAGGAAGCATCCATCAACGGAGGGTACTCGGTCGGAGTACGGGGAGCTCCGTTACACACAGCACTCCTCCGATCAAATCCTACAGCAGCATTTTATTGAAGAGCCATGTTTGCCTAGGTTCTGAAGGTGGAAGTGCCTCTATTGGCTGTAAGACAGGCAGCCACTAGAGTTGTATGTATTCCTTCATTGCAAGTATTGCTGTTTGTACAAAATTTAATGTGTTACATTGAAGAGTTAAAATCCCAAGACCACTCCAGCCAGACCATGGGTGCCTGGGTGCCCCCAAACAAAATTCAGATGAACCAAACCAAATCGATTTGTTTTATTCGTACAAAAAAAATCAGACAAACTGAATCTTCCATTTGTGCATAAGTCTACTCACTACATGCTAAAGTCTCACAGACCTTAACATCATGTTTTTGTTTTTTTGTTTTTTAGATTCATTATACCTTGCATAGTTGCACAGTATTGCTGTTTACAGGCTTGCAGCTGCTATTTCCCTTAAAGTGGGGGGGCATTTAAGAGATAAGAGAGATTACTTGTCTAAACCTGTCCCTCGCGGGTGCCGCCATCTTGTCGCTATGCTTTTCTTCAACCCCTGGCACCTAAGTGTGCGCGAAAGTAAAGCATTGAGGTCCATGGGAGATTCCGCGAGACAGCAGGATCCTCTATAGGCACAACCAGTTCCCCGCAGTTGTCACTGGTGACAGCTGTTGGAACTAACTCCAACTTGAGTCTAAGAAAGTCAGGCAGAGGAGAAATCCAGAGACAAAGGAGTCCTCACTTTGACTCAGTAGATCTCTTGACTAGGTTTCAATTTCAGTAGAATTCCAACACAGTCAAAATGAGGATTTCATAAAAATTATATCTTTATGAAATACTAGTTTTTCAGGGAGGGGTGACAGTGCAGGTTTAAGCAATCTCACACTTTGCCTTTTTATCAAACATTTGGAAGAAGGTAAAATACTCACATTAGTTTTTTCAGTGTTTTGTTTGCACACAAACTGAACACCATGTTTTCTGTTCCTTTATCTTGTAATTCATTGTCACATACATTTAATTTCTCCACTGACGTGTTTGTTTCAAGCGCTTCCCAGAGGTTATTAACACCTGATGGTCCCAGTTTATTGACTGCCAGGCTAAACAGTAGAAAATAAAACGTGAGCAATAGTAAATGTTATCATTAACTCCCTTAAAAACAACTTGAAAAATAAGGTGGTAGGAAAAAAAAAGGTAAAGCATAACTTTTTAAATTACAAATAAGAAATCCAAGTTGTAAACCTATTAATATAGATGTCTAAATACATTTACTATCTATATCTTCTTATCTTGTCTAAATATGTGATAAATATCCCTCGTGTAATTCTTTGAAAGTTATTTCAAAATGGTCTTACTGTTGAGGATAATTATATGCAACAAAGGACTATTATTACATAAATAAAAATAAATGCAAAATGATATATATAGTTTAAAAATGCCCCTTGGTATTAATTGCTTGTTTGATGGAGCAAATAAGGTAAGGAACCTTAATCACTGCGGATGTTGTGGACTACATCTACCATAGTGCTCTTACAGCCATAATGTTTGCAAAGCATCAAGGAACACGGTCGTATGAATTATAGAGTATGACCTTGCAGACACCCCCTATTGAACTCAAAATCAGTATAAAAAAACAAAGGTATAATACACAGAGACATAGTGGGGTTAAAATCTCAGAGTTAATGAAGGAAACAGAAATAGCTTAGTAAAGAAGAGACCATTAACCTAACTAAAAATCTATTTGAGCTAAGATTTAGCTTAGAATAATTTATTAAGATCATGATAGAAATTAATGTAATATAAGTGAAACTGTATATCAAGTGCTTTAAGGGTTATCAGAGTGTCTCTTCTTTCTCACTTTAGAAAAGTGCCAAATTTAAGAGAAATTAGTACTTTTTTTTATAAAGCACCTTGGGTGCATCCCCCTGACTGCAAACAGACAGCTAGGAGGCTATTCTTCCAAATTCACCTTGAGTGCTAGCTCCAGATAGAAGTGATGGATTCTCAAATAGAAGTATTGGTTTCAATGTTTTTCAATGAAAAGTTGTTAGGGTGCAGCACTGCAACTAACGCGCATTGGCCTTGTCTCCCATTTCTTCTCTCGCCGCAGCTCCCCTGTGATCATTACTAGTAATGATCTCTTGGGGTTGGAGAGGAGCTGCAACAAGGAGAAATGGACATGCCTAAATCTGTCAGTCTCCAGGTACAATATCCCAGCACCGTGACCACTATATTAAGCTGTAGTAGTTTAGGTACTCAGATTGTCCCTTTCATTTTGTATTGTAATGCAAACCAAATCTCTTCTGGCATGATATCACAGTGGTGTTGTGAACTAAAGTATAGCTACTAATATCAACAACAATGTAAAAAAAAAAAAACTTACAAAAATAATTACTTACAAAAGATCCTTTATCTCACAGTCTGAATGTTCAAGAATACGTCTCAGTATTAGCCCTGATTCCTTTGTCAACATGTTTGAGCTTAAACTGAAAAACAAAACATAGCTTTCTTTACTCATAGCAATCAGCACTATGCAAGTAATTTAAATTGCATGACGTCATATTGATACAATGATGTATTATATCTTTAGTTACATATAAAATGGAATTATAACTTCTTAAACAAACACACCAAGCACCATAACTACTACAACCTGCAGTTGCAGTTATGGTGCCAAAAGGCACATTTGCTCATATGTTGTCTTCAACATGTGACTCTATATGTTTGCCACTTTTTACTTTCCCTATTCCTCCTCTAGCTGCTTGTAAAGTCCCTTGTCAAGGTGCATGTAGAGATTACTATTACTATATTCTTAACCCCTTCAGGACGGGTGACGGACGAGGTCCATCACTCAGGGAAAACCCTTAATGACGAGTGACGGAACTCGTCCGTCACGTGGTAAAATTAACCCCGGATCGCCGGCGATCGCGGGGTTAATGGTGCTCCGGTCTGCCTCTGTATTAGAGGCAGACCAGGAGCACCCGATCAGGCTGCCCAGCACATGTGCTCGCTCTGACCGCATGTCAGAGCGAGCACATGTGCTTAGTATACTTACCTCCCGCCTCCCTGCACTTCCTGGTTCTGAGTGAAGTGTAGGGAGCCGGAACAGTGATGATCCTGCCCCCTGTTGGAAAAAAAATAAAGTTTATTTAAAATCCCACCCCCTTTATCAATTTTAATAAAAAATTAACCCCTTCCCTGCCAATTGATCACTGACTACAGTGATCAATTGGCAGGGATTCTGACTACAGTGATCAATTGGCAGGGATTACATTTTACTATGATCTGATTTTTTTTTAACCCCTGAGGGTTAATTCTTTTTTTTTTTTTTTTAACCCTCAGGGATTAAATTTATTTAATTAATTTAAATTAAAATATTTTAAAATTATATATTTAGCTAGCTGGGGTGGGTGGAAGTTAGTGGGGAATTGGGGGATTTGGCGTTAGGCTAACTAGGAGTTAACGTTAAGAAAAGTTTTAAAATAAACTTTAAAAAGTTAGAAATTAAGCTTTAAAAAAAGTATTAGTAACGTTCAAGTAAAAAAAAAAAAACCCCCCAAAAAACCCCTTTACCCAGTCCAAATAAAAATTAACCCCTTCCCTGCCAGTCGATTTTTTTTTAACCCCTGAGGATTAACTTTTATTTATTTTTTTAACCCGCAGGAGTTCAATTTATTTAATTAATTAATTTAAATATTTTATAACTATATATTATGCTAGCTGGGGTGGGTGGGAGTTATGGGAAAATGGGGAATTTACTGTTAGTGCTGCTTACTGCTAGTTAGGGGTTAACGGTAAAAAAAAAAAGCTTCGAAAAATGTTAAATCTGTAAAAAAGTTTTCAGAAAGTTTAGGAAAGTTTAAAAAAAATTAATAAGCAAAACAAAAGTTTAAAAAAAGTTTTAAAAAGTAAAAAAATACATTTTAAAATGCTCATTACCACTACACCTGGAACAAACTAGAGCAAAAATTATCCCACGCCAAGGTTCAAAATATGCCTTTTGAATTATCCCAGGATGTATTCTTTAATAAATAGTATGTGTTTGTGGGAAAATTTCAATAACCAAACGTCTAAACTACTCCAAATTGGAACATGGACACAGCGTAAAACTTCAAAGTTAGAAAAAAACTGAATGGCTCCGTCTCAAATGCGCCCCTTCAACATCCAAAAAAATATCAGACACATTATATATTCTGTAAATCAGAACAACTAAATTTATTTATTTTTAATTACTTTCCTTAACCTGCACTAATTATGCACACATTATTATTGCAAAAACCGTAAAAAAACCACAATTTTTTTCATTTTTATTTTTCTGTATTTTTTTTATAATAGATAAGCATTTTTATATATATATATATATATATATATATATATATATATATATATATATATATATATATATATATATATATATATATATATATATATATGTGTATATATATATATATATATATGTTACATCAAATTAAAGTCCTTTCTGTCCTTTAAAAAACAGTATATAATATGTGTAGGTGCAATGAATTTGTAAAATGCAAATTGCAGTTGAACGCAAACAGCAAAAAATGAAAAAAATGCTGTTGTCATTAAGTGAAAGACAAGCTTTTGAAGCTCTGTCCTTAAGGGGTTAATTGACCAATTGTGTCTATGTGTATACTAATGATTCACATTCTCTTGTTATTTTAGCTTTTTTTTTTAAAAAGATTTTTATTTTCCAGTCATGTGTACGAAATAACTATTCTTCTCTATCAGAAGCCTATACAGGCAATGTTTTCCATGTATTGAATTTTGATATGCTATCAATAGATGTGAATGATAAAAAAACAAAACACTGTTTAAGTACTGTTTGACAACTTACCTGCTAGACACAGGTCACCAATTACAGTGCTGCGGGAAGTACCGGCCCCAGTGCTAAGCCTAGCCATGCAAGGCTGCCCTCATTGGCTGAGTCATCTAATGCTCTTAGCTAATAACCTGGTTCTGCATGGCAGGGATGAGCTCAGTGAAGCTAACAGAAGCTGCTTGTAGGACCTTCCATAGCAGGGGAGGCTACAGCTGGTGCACATTAAGACCCAGGTAAGTTGCCAACCCATTCTTAAATGGTTTGACTACTTGCTCTGGGAAAGGACCAGAGCAATCATGGCACCATAACCACTACATCAGGGTGCAGTGGTAATGATGTTTGAAGTGTTCCTTTCAAATGGTCTGTCTTCATACCATAACAACTACAGCTCATAGAGTGATCAAAACAAAGCCTATAGACACTATTACCATTTGTTTGGGGGGGGTATTTTGTTTTTTAAGAAAATGTTTTAAAGTGTTTTTAAAACAAAACAAAACACAGGATTGTCTTTAACACAAACAACCTTCCCCCTCTTCAGCCACATTACCTATGTGAAAAAAGCCACTTCTGTTTTCTGAAGTATGATTTTGTTTAATCTGGATTGCCGGGAGTCATGGTGGCAGGTGGTAGACTATGGAACAATATAAATTCAATTGATCTATTGATGTAAAAAAATCTCATATAAAATATCTGCCCTTAAACATTTTATAAAATGTGAAGTGAAGTCTTCATATTATTTTGGGTTTACTGTTATGACTATTACATAAACAAGTATATATGTTTGGGTTATTAAAGATTAAACAGTTGAACAATATTGCTTCTTCTAAAATGCAATGCTATGGCAACACCTTTGATCCCAGAGACAATAGGAATGTGAGAGATGCAGTTATATATATATATATATATATATATATATATATATATATATATATAGGCTGAGTCATCTGATGCTCTTCACAACTCTATGAGTGGTCTATATATAGAGAGCTGTTCATCAAATTATACTAACACAATAGTAGCAATTCTCTGGAATATGAGGACATTTTAAATGCTGACATCTTTAGCTTGATAACCTTGGTATCATTTCCTTCGGAAAAAGTCAGATAGTCATTAAGTAATGAAGAATATAATTAAGGAGTTAAGAAGTTTACATACTATTTGCTATATTTGATAGTTTTTCATCAGGATTTGTAAATATTCTCTACTTACTTTACATATGTAGAATTCCTTATGACAGTCTGCAATTGGTTTAAATGTTCATTCCTAAGATCACACAGTGTTAAGTCGAGTTCTTCTAACTTTGACTTCTCCAAGCTATAGTGCATAGCTCTGATATCTAGAGCATTTAGCGAAGTGTTAAACAAATTCACTGATGTGAACATGCTGGATAGGTGTCCAGTAAGTCTATTCTCTTGGAGTTCGTAGATGCAATGAAAAAGGTGGAGTAGTTTTGCACAAGAAGGTTCTTTCTTAATCCACACTTCAAAGTACATTTCTAAATATGGCACTCTCTGGAGATTCCTACCACTAGTGTACAGACCATCCATATTGGAATACATAAAAAAACCCATGAAGAAATTTAGAAAATTATCAAAAACAATATTTTGATTCATATTTGTATTTTGGAGCAGAATGTGTGTTCTGCTTTGTCTTTCTGGGATATTCCCCCAGGTCCATGCATTTAAACATTCAAGGATTCCCTCTGAGTTACATATTGTCCATGCACAGTGTAATGCTGCAAACATGTCTCTGATGCTGGTATGTCTGTACTGTAAAAGACCGGTATTACTGGTCTGCTTGAAAAAGAACTCTGAAAAACATTCCAGTAGTCTTTGAGTATGCACACAGCCTTCTCCCAGATCTTGCACATTGATCTCCTCTACACCAGCAAGTAGGTTATTGTAGGACAATTCAGACATATTCTCAACCATGATTTTAACTTTGGATGGAAGGTTGCTGCTAGTGCTCTGTGGTTTGATTACACAGCATGGTTCAGTGCTTTCACTCTCATAGGACAATGCATTCGCCAAGCAAACCTTTAGAAGGGAGGACATCATTTCACTGCGTGTCGCTAATCTCTGTAAATTAGGACTACACAAGCCTTGATTTTTGGAAAGCTCATACAGAGCACTACTTAAGAGTGGGATTGAGACTAAACTGGACAAGTTATGTTCTTCTATAAAATCGTAGATACTTTGGGATATCTCATCAGAACAGAACTTCTTGTAGAACTGCTTAATCTGGTCATCTGTAAATTCTTGCATTATAAATGTTCTTTCAAAATATTCACCAGTTTTCTCTACATTTTCACTTTTTAGTCGTGATGTTACAAGGATGTCTGTGTTAGGAAGAAGGGCTTTGCGCAAAATACTTAAAACTAGATTTTCTATAGGAAGTGGTGTATCATTGTCAATTGCATTTTTTAAAGCATTTTTTTCCGTATTAACAATAAATTCATCATATCCATCAAATATAATAAGAAGTCTGCCTGATTCTAGAAGTTCTGGAAGAACATCTTCAAGATCCTTACACTTATTTCTCAGAAGTTCCTTTACACTCATTGGTTTCTTAATAGCCTTAAGCTCAGCGAAAGTAAAATACATCACACATTCATAGTGCATGCAATTTTCCCTAAAAGCCCATTTCTTCTGCAATCCTTTTGAGAAAAAGCTTTTTCCTATGCCAGCCTCTCCTGCTAGTAGCATCCTCTTAGAAGATAGCACCATATTATCTTTAGTAAAGAGTTCCTCTGATGGTAATGTGTCCCGTTTCCTACGTAACAAAATATTTTGATCCATTTTCTCAAAATTCATATCCATTGTTCTCCACTCAGGAATTAAAAGTGTCCTAGATATAAAATCATTTGTTCCACGTTCCTCTTCTGAACTTGAGTTAGATGTTCTCCGAACATGTTCTTTGTATTTTTCAATATATTCTAAAGAAATTAATCTATGTGTTAGAATTTCTTATTTTTTTATTCACTGGTATTTTTACAATATATTTAAATCAAACATGTTATGGAGAATATCTTGTACCAGAAAAATCTAAAAAGTTGAAAATCTACATGTACACACATAATGAAGCTTTAAAAATGTTACCATAATAAAAAACTCACATACATTTTACCTGTGAAAACCATATTCATTAGACTCGTTACCTCAGTGCAGAACTCTATGTTGCTATATTGTTTAGAATTCAAAAGTTCTATTACATGTTACATATGTAAATATTAAAATAGTTTTCTATTCCCCATATATGTGCATACATAATCCTTTAAAGCCATAATGTTCCCTCCATGAAGCAAGCATCAAAGAGTTAATCCTGTGTCTTTTTACGTTTCCCTCCTGAATCCATTGACATGCCAAGTTACCCAATCGCACTGTTCCCCGACGTATGGGTGGTTTTCGTGGTGGGGGAGGGGTAATGTTACGATATATACCCTTGTGCTACATTCCCAAAAAGGAACCACATCAATCAAAAGCCTCTTAATACTCGAAATTTCCATCTGTTCAGTGCCCTGTTGTGGTTTCTTAGTGATACCTACAGCGTGTTCCTAATTATCTGTGATTTCCTGGGTATCCATTTTGACTTATCTGACTTCTATGATCTATGTTCTCGTGGACCAGCTTGGCTTTTCTATATTGTGGAATCCCTGACCTCGGATTGTTTTTTACATATGTGTGTACTAGTCTAGATTGAAAAAAGGCCATCAAGTATAAACGTGAAACCCATTAAAACCCATTCTTTGTAAGCTGAATGATGCAAAAGAAGGCAAAAAGAATTGTGGCCATTTTCAATTTTGCCACAAGATCCCTTCTTGACTACATAATGGCAATCTGTCCTATTAACAATTACACTACTAATAAAGTGCGCATGCAGAGCTAAACAAAAACATGGCCACACTGTCACATCATGCCATGTTCTGCGGAGATGTCTGGCTTTGGTTTCTGGTATCCAGTACTCTTTTTACAATTCTTGTTTAGTTTTTCTTGTTTTTTTGGTTTTCTTTTCCATGTCTGGTTTTCCTTATGCTGGGTTTTCTGGGTTTTCTGGGTTCCCTGGAATTCCCAGTGTCCAGGTTTCCTTTAAATGTTTGTTTTATGTTTCCACACCTTTTTGTTTTCCATCATTCCTTTTGTTTCAGTGTCCTGCAGGCAGCTGATCAAGCCTTCTGCCCTTTCTTGCAGGTAAGTACTAAATATGTGTTTCTTATGGTTCTTTTAGTATACATTAGGCAGAGTGGGACCTGCCAGATATGGGGTACATTGGCGTTGTTGGCAAGCTTATGCAATGTATGATCATATAATGTGACTAAATCCCCATAATTTTTTATATGTAGTACTTAGTTATATCTCCTCTTGTTTTGCCTATCATATCTTGTCTTGTTTTAGTTTGTATTCCCAGTCCATGTACAGTCCTGTCCTGCCCCTGTTTAGTTAATGTTCCTTTATGTATTGTGTACATGTTCTGGGTTTAGCTTCCTATCCTTCTCTGGTTCTGGGTTCTACTTGTTCTGTCTTGTTTTCATGTTTGGTGCCTGTTCTAGTCTTGCTTTGTTTCTGTACTGGATACATGTCTGCTGCAGAGCCCCCTTATCCAGTTCCTGGGAGGTCCGCATATCAAGCTCCTAGTTCCTGGGATCCGCTGTAGCTGCATCAGGGTTCTGGTATGTGGCCGCACAAACGCTGGTGCTCAACGCCAGAGGACGTGTGGTTACCCTGAACCAGGCCCTGATATTCCATTACCACGCTGAGACTCCCAACTCAGGCACTCAGGGGTCCCGGTTTCCGTGCCGCCAACCCGTGACACACACAACTCCAGTACATAATAAGGTAAAGACGCAAACAGTGTAATGTGTGCACAGTGTAAAACAAAATGAACCAACCCCAAAAAGACACCATATACTATATATCAGTTTTGCGCCCTCTCTCTCTCTCTCTCATTTGGGGGTTGGTTTACTTTGTTTTTTGTTGATAAAAAGTGTTATTACAGACGTGAAATGCTTTCATCGCCTTAGGGTTTTTTTTCATCCAGCTTACCGGCACCTTGTCTGGTCTTATGCCCCATCTCTCTCATATAGACAGATACTGGTGGCAATATTTTTTTTTTTTTGCATTTTATGACAGTTTTATGTGGTTGGATATACCTGAGTTACCTGTAAAATGTGGGGTCTATGAGATGATTTTGTCTGCTATATGTTGCTTTATATACTATACAGTTTTATTTTTGAGAAAATATCCTGTGCTTTTATGGTCACATCTTGTGATATTAAATAGGAAAGTTGTTTGTGAGGTATCCTGAGATATTATGGACCTATTGTCATTTATAGTCCTTTATTTATTTGGGGGTTGGTACACTTTGTTTGGCACTGTGCACACATTATACAATTTACTTGTTCACCTTACGAGATATGAGCATGTATTAATATGGTAGTAGAGAAGAATGTTTTTCACTACAGTGCACTGTAGTGGTTATAGTGCCAAGAGCATCCTAGTCTCACTCCATTGTAAGTAGACAAGCCATTTGCTAATTGTATGACATCCTAGCTGGGGTCCACAGAGCCCTGATCACCTCAACTATGAGAGTCAGATGCTCTCTGCATTGACCTAAACTATGGTGCTTAGAGTATACATTTATAAATACTTATCTACTTATTAACTTTCTTCAATAGTATCACAAAGGATTTCAGCTTTTATATTGATATATATTAATGTGTTTGTTTGTTTAGCCTTTGTTTACCATATTATTTAATATATTTTCTCATCTTTTCGTCACATTATTTTACATTGACTTATATCATCCAGGCAATATAGTCTATAAAATCTCATGCCAGTATTTTTTTCCATTTCAGAACCAAATTAATGTTCCTTCTAGATTGAGCGCACTCTGTCACTGGAAAGATACACTAACACACATGCATATAATATTTTAAGACGGAAAGAAAGAAAGAAAGAAAGAAAGAAAGAGAATATATTACCTTTTCGGTTTTTCCTTAGCAATGGTTCTGATTCTGTTAAAATAAAATAGTTCTGTAAGTTCATGCAAAGTTTTATATGTAATTTGCCTAGGTTTACAGCATTGCAATAGTAATAAAATATGTAATAAAGATCTTGTAGTACAAGTAAATATGTACTATGGACTTTGAACCAATTTAAAAAAAACTTTTCTATCACTTTCGTTTTAGTTTGTGCTGTGAAATGAGATACTCTAAACCATTTTAGCTTAATTAAGCAGTTTTGTTATATAGATCATGCCCCCCGCAGTCTCTTCTCTATTCTCTGCCATTTAGGAGTTAAATCACTTTTGTTTCTATTTGCACAGCCCTAGCAACACTTCTCCTGGCTGTGACTAACATAACCTCCATATAAAAAAACAGTTTAATTTTCAATCAGATCTTACAGAACAGTGTGTTTACATTAGAATTTCTTATGTGCATATCTGGCTTGCTATGTCAATTGAACTTTAATCACACACAGGAAGATCTCACAGGCTAGCAGGAGATACAGGATTCTTATTTGAACACAAGTGCAATGTAGAAAGCTAAAAAATATAGATCTATTTTAAGGAAGTTTGTAGGAAGGCAACGTGAGTCACAGCCAGGAAGGTGTGACTATGGCTGTATAAACAAAGTGATTGAACTTCTAAATGGCAGATAATTGAGCAGTGAGATAGCCGGTACTTTGTATATATACCAAAACCCGTTCATTAAGCTAAGGTTGTTCTGGTGCTTAGAGTGTCCCTTTAAGATGTCAGGATATAATCAGAAACATGCCCCACAAATCTCAGATCACTCAGATCTCCATTAGAGTGATATGAGTTTTTTCTACCTATTTTACAAATCTGAATTTAAAAGAAAGCCATTTTCCACATGGGACAAAAGTAAGTCAAAAGGAAAATCAATAAAACTGGAATATCAAACATTAAGCAATACTATTAAACAATGTTTGCCCTTTGTGGGGATATTTTTTTTCAAGCATTCTATTAGGTAGGTTATGCAATAAATAATCATGACAATACCGAAAATAACGCAGGTGATTTATTTAATAAAGTAATCATTCATGTGTTATTGTCAAAATATTATCATTTCCTTTTCACAAACAATTTAAATAAGTTGATATTTAGGCCTCAATGTAATATTTTTAGATAGACTTTTCAAATGATTAAATATGTTTGGACAAACGTTTTATATAATATAACTGCAGGAGTCTCCATTAATGTCTATGGAACTTTTACAGATAAATCATTTGAAAAGTTTATCCAAACAGATTGATGCATTTCAAAAGTGTATCCAAAAATACTAAATCAAAACATTAGTTAGGGAAATCACTGCTACAAATATTAATTTAAATATAGATTTATGAAAACTATATTTTCAAAAAGTGATGTAAAAATACCTGCTGATGAACGCTTTTTCCTGATCTTTATCTTCCCTATGTACAGAAATCCAATGAGCATCAGAGCAAAGCTTATAAATGATCCTACTTTTATGAAATAATATCTTGAAGAGATAGCTGTTTCCTTATCTACAAAAAAATAAAATATGTTACTTTTTGAAAGCAAGTCAGTGAGATACTAAACTTTCAAACACTCTGTATGTGTTTAACTATATGATCCCTAGGAAAACATCAGAGTAGCACACAAAATACAGAGCAAGTATTGGATATTTTGGCCAAAAGATGGAGATATAAAACAAGAGAAAGAGAGTCAGACAGGGCATGACATTCCATGATCAACATGGTAGACAACTGTATGGTGAGGACAAACCACCAAGCAAAAGTATCACCATAACCGACAAAATGATGGCCAGCATTGGTTCATCAATGTCTAACAATACAAAATTCAAACAAACTAGCAGGTAGATGTTCATCTTTCCACATTGGGATTTCACACTAGGCACCGGCACCTACACTAAATACAAACAAAGTTAGTGAGCAACAACTAAAAAGAAAGCTACACAGAATATAAAAGCATGAACCCTGATCACCAAAGATACAATACTCAACAGAAAAGCGACTTATAGTTCAAGTTTTATTATCTTCCAAAAGTACATTAAAAATGCATACAAATGTGAAAAACATAGAGCAGTATTGTCAGTGTAACTATGCAATAAAGTAGTTATCTCAATTACAATGCACATTCATAGAGTCCCATAAACACATGGATAGTTTGTTATTACCTTGCTATTACATTTTATAGACAATAGGAAGCTAATGGTCTGCAGCTCTGTGTCTCTCTCCCCCACAAATCTCTGTGAGGCTGGGCATGACTGGCGTTTTACACTCAATGCTGTTCTTTATCCACGAGCGAGTGGTAACTATAGTGTTCTATTAGTGCCAAAATATTCACCAAAGTGTTTCATTTGTTAAAAGCAGACTTCCTCGGGACTGTAAAGTCCTGCCTATCCATTTCTATATTTATTATCCCTCATCTCAAACAAATTTGGACCTACAATTAAATTACTAATCTAAAACGTTTCAGAAAAAACATAGCCTTTATCCTTAATTGTTGGCAATATAAATTGCTCACAGACCAAAATTTACATAAAAACAGCAATGTCACAATGCCACAATTAGTGTAGAATTTATGCAATAATTTATTTTCACTTTCCTTCTAAGTCTCTAGGCCTTGATTTAATATTTTTGGATAAACTTATAAAAGTTTTTTTTTTTCAAAATCTCTATCAAATTCTATAGCATATATAAAAAATATATCCAACAATATTAAATCATTTGCTTACCCGCGAGTAGGGGCATGTCGTCTAAATAAATGCAAAACTACTAGTGACTGGGCAGATATTGCTGCCCAGTCACTAGTGCAATAAGGGGGGATCTGGCACAAGTTAAATCGTCCCGCACAACCCTACCTGTGCCAGGTCCCCCGTGTAGTAGGTGCATGTCGCCTAAACAGCAAGCAACCACTAGCTGTTCACTGTCATTTAAAACTGAATATAAAAATCATTATCTGGGGGGGCGGAGCCTAACCAACGAGCTGGCTGAATGTGCTCTGCTAGAGCTCCTGCCACACAAACCCTAAATCTGCGGATTAATCGAGCTACAGAGCCTCAATCCTCCTGGGACCTGACCCACGGCATGGGGGAACCCGGCCGGAATCGAATGATGCCACACTCGACACCGGGACGACCGTGCACCGCCACGGCAAACTGAGGCCTACCAAGGGAGGCGGAGGAGAAGAACGGCCGCTTTCCCTCCGATCGCAGCAAGCAGCACACGAGTACACCCCCCTCTTCCCCCATAGACCGGCGGGGGTCCCCGCCAGACAGAGAACCTCGAGCCCTACACCTCCCGACCATGCCCGCGACTCTTTCAAGCAAGGCGGGCTTATGGTAGCACCAGCCCTAAAAAGTCACATTGGACCGTTTAAAGAGCTGCATGCTCACAAGAAGCAGTTTGGGCATGTCTGGTCTATACATACTTAGAAATATCTCACATCTGAAGTCAGTGGTGATGTCAAGGTAGTTTTTTTCACATTGTCAGCGCTATACAATACTATGGGTACATTCTGTGAGTTCAAGTGAGCCCAAGTGAGCTCTAGACAGAGTGCAGCTATTCAGGTTCTTTTATGCGATGCTTTGTGCTAGAAACCCTATCAGACGAGACATCACCCATTCTGTTTCCTTCCAGGTGTTATGGTTCCATCTACTGATAACCTGTTTCTTTCTCATTTATTGGTTTTCACTATTGTGCCACACATTCTGTGGTGACGATCAAACCTGATGAGGAAATAATGTGCATTGTATTACCCAGAAATAAGACTGCAGATGGAGCTACAGCAGGTAAGTTTGTGTAAACTAAATCTAACAAAATTCTGATTGCATATGCAAATTTACTACCTGTTTTTAAAAAAAATGACATTTTATTCTTCTGCAAAAAAAACACTTAAAAAAAACATGGGAATTAATATAAACAATGTCAAATTAATAATAAGGCCTGTATCTGGTTTTCTACACTATTAAATCTTCAGTAGTGAATTACCTGTGATGTAAAGATCCATCCATGATGCATGTATATTTTTAATAGAAACATAACAAACATATTTTCCAGAATCAGAATGTTTCAATCTCTTCAATAAAAGAGACAGATTTCCTTTGGGAAATTCTTGTAGGAACATCTGGGTCCGTCCTTGAAATATAATTCCCTGATATTCTGGATGATCTTCTCCATAAAAGAAACTATGAACAACCGTATCATTTTCTGTCTGCCAGTTCACAACAAGTTTTTTCAGATCAAATTCATCTTCATATTTTATGGCACACGGTAAGAGGACATCTTCTTCCACAATTCCAGATATCACGGTGGATGGTGAACAGATACAAACTTGAAAAACAATATACTGAAAATTATTACACAAAAACAAGCAATATAATAATGCACATAATCATAATTACATCTCTAGAAAAATGTTAATCTTAGTGAACATATTATTTTCAGAGAAAAACTTTGGAACATTTTTATAAAATTAATTTTTACATTTTGAAAATTGAGGGGTCATTAACCCCTTAAGGACCAAACTTGTGGAATAGAAGGGAATCATGACATGTCACACATGTCATGTGTCCTTAAGGGGTTAAGCTAGCATTAGCATTTTTCCTAATACAGTGACAAAGGGGTTGGTGCCTAAAGCTACAAAGATTATTGGTCATCATCATTTTCTCCCTTTCTCATGTGCTTGCTTTTTCTTCCACCAAAAACATGCACATGCAGCACATTTGTCCATACAATGTCTTTATCACCATTGAAGGTGGTTGTGTAACTAGAAATCTGTGCTGCACATTTGGTATGTAATGTGAATTGTAATCTAAAAACATTCACGCAGAGAGTCCACCCACAACTGTTATATAGATTGTATCTCTTTAAATAAGCAACTAAATTCATATTAATAAAGGAGTGTCCATTTGAATATACATGTTAACATAACTTCAGTAAGTCTGTGTATTTTATATTGTCACCTGTCTGTTTTGACTCTCATTCCTTGATTCTATTCCATGAGATTGCAAGTTGGAGTTCAATCTCATATCTGACCTTTATACAGGCACAACAAACCAATGGCCCAAACTCTGGCAGTGCATAATCCCTCCTTAGGTCAGATTAAGTACTACAATTAAGAATATCACCCCTACTTTTTATTTATTTGTGACAAGAATGTTGTGTATTAAAACACAATCTTGTTGAAATGGACATGAAGCCTGAACGTCAGTGAACCAAATTGGAACAAATTTAATAACTCAACTCAATGAATCCATCTAACCTCACATGATAGTGTTATCTCCATAAGCATGGCAGCACATTGCGTTAGGGTATGCACCCAGAGAAAATTACCATAAAAATAATAAAAAATACTAATTAAAATATTAAACACAATGTAAATGTTTACTCCAGTGGTAACTACATATACATATGTAGTGATAATGTTTACCTTTGAAAACCTAAACAAATAACCCAAACTCTTGCAAAAGTTCCCTTAGAGAGTTACCTAAAAAAGGTACATGCAGGATCATTTGGCCATGCATTAGCATACACGTGGGTACACCTTGCACACGCCTATGCTTATATCCTTAAAGTAGAACTAAATTTACTATATCAACTGACCCAATATCAGGTTCTGATGTAATGAATAGGAGGTTCAACACTAATTTGAGATGAATGTGAATCCATTTTGAAAACAAGAATCAGTTTGTTGGCTTTGTTTATACCAGGGATGTACATGGGCAAAAATTTCGGCACTTCCGAAATTTGGGACTTTGGCAATTTGGGACTTCCGCAATTTGGTTTTGGCTTCGTCATTTCTGGGCTATGGCAATTTCCTAACCATACCTCTAACCCTACCCCTAACCTTACCCCTACCGCCACCCCTAACCTTAACCTCACCCCTTCCCCTAACCACCAGAACCACTTACACATGTAGGGATAGGGTTAGGGGTTAGGTTAGGTGTAAGGTTATCGGTATGGGTAGGTGTTAAGGGTAGGATTAGGGGTAGGAGTAGGGTTAGGGGTTAGGGTTAGAGTCCTGTCATCATTCCCATGATTTTCCCTCCCCTCTCCTGTTATGCCACTTTTCAGAAATCCGAAGCACCTCGGCACTTCCGAAATTCTGCAATTTGGACATTCGGAAGCATCCGAATGTCTGAATTGCCTAATTTCTGCAGAATTTATATTTGGAACGAAACAAATTGCACATGTCTAGTTGATACCATTATTTCAACCCAGCATCTAATGTTAGTGTTAGTGGTAGTTGTATGCCCTCAGATCAAGCCCTATTTTACAGGATGGAGGAAGGAATATTTACATGCCACTTGGATGCTTCATAGTACAAAATTACTAAAACTACAGAAACTACAATGGTTTGCCTCTCTCAGACACAGAATATGAAATTTCATTAAGAGAGAGTGTTGAGGGGAAATAACTTGAAATCCTAGCACTCACAAAGCAATGTCCTTCTGGACTTGGAAGTGGAATTTGAGGAAGGTGTTGTTTTTTTTAATTAGTGTTTAAATACAGAAATGTCCTGTAAGGTTGTGCTGATTGCAAAAGATTGTTTAAGGATAAGGTTGTGCTATTGTCAAATGTCCATTGTCAAAACAAATGCAATCACTTTATCCATTCAACTTTCCATTACTGGTTTTGCAGTTTTTTGTAATAATATTTTTTAATAATAATAAAATAATAATCATGGACATATAAATATGTTTGGATAACTCTTATAATGGAGGTATACGGTATGTGTTTAACAGTTTTGCAGCATGGAGAAACTGGAATATTTTACCTGAAACCACCAAACATCCTAATGTGTAGATTCTCAATAGTAGGCGACAAACATTTGGAATGGAATCCATTTTAAGGTCCATTTACCTGGAAAGAAAATGTCCAAAATGTACAAACAAACATATAAACAAATGATTATGCTTTTCAATCAGATTTCTGTAGATTTATCTAATGTAGAAATTAATAAAGCATGTGTTTCTTTTTTGTAAATCATACAATACATAGGTTCATATATTAATATATAATAGTGAAAATAAAACCAGTAATCAATCTAAAAACTAGTTCTTTTTGTAAAAAAACATTGAAAATTGACATTGATAATCACGTCAATGTAATTATCTGAAAAGCACTTTTGTTTTAAAGTATATATCTTAAATAACCTATTTAATCAAGTGGATAGTTTTAATAGTGCTTTAATATTGTTAGTTATGTGTCTCCCCTATTACCAATTACTTGTGTGATTAAAATACATTGTAATCATATTTATTGTCTTCATTTTGTAATACAGGTACTTGTGATGCATATTTACACTGTAATAAGGGTGCAATTAATATCAGTAGGACCGATATATTATTGGCAGTAAACCCTGTTCCCATTCTAATCCTAGTTTGTAATGTTATCAGCACAACAATCTGGTGTCCAGATTTATCAAGTAAATTGATCTCAAGTAAAATGTATGTATTTGTATCCTAGTGCAAAGATCTTCCTCACTGGCCCACAGCAGGGCCAGACTGGGGATTCCAAAGCAGCCCTGGAAAAAAAATCTATGCCAGCCCCTTAAGTCATTGCGCCATATATTGTTGCATGTAATAGGTAAGGCTATGTCTTGCCACCCTAGATGATTGATATATATATATATATATATATATATATATATATATATATATATATATATATATATATATATATATAGCCTTTTCCAATATAAAATATTGGTCCTTTCAGAGAAAGATTTTTAATTATACAGTAAGCATACTCACATGCAGACACAGACAATCTCACTGACACAAGCTGATTGATACACAGCCTCATAGACAAACAATTTCACTGATATACATAAGGTTATTGACATAAAAACACAAGCTCACTCAGTAGCAGGCACACACACACACACACACACACACACACACACAAGCAAGCCCACTCACTAGCAGGCGCGAACACACACACAGCTTAATGTAGTGGCTCTGGTGTCTATAGCCTGTCCCTGCAGGCTTTTCAATGTTAACACTGACTTTTTAGAGAAAAGGCCGTGTTTACATTGCTTCCTAGTGACAGACACTCAGACGGTCACTAGAGGTGCTGTGTCAGTGCGGATTGGCTGAGATTATCAAGCTTGATGATCTCAGCCGTAGAGGCAGGGCCAGTCGAGGGGAGACCAGCACAACGTGTGGGGAAAAAAAAGGGAGTAAAAACATACATACACACACACACATACCATGACAGACACACACCATGACACAGACAGACCGTGACACACACACACACCGTGACACAGAGAGAAACACACACACACCGTGACACAGGCAGAAACACAGACACACCATGACAGACAGACACACACCATGAAAAAACACACACACCATGATACAGACAGACCGTGACACAGACAGACACACATTATATGACAGACACACACACACAATGACACAGACACACATGGCATGACACAGACAGACGCACACACCATGACAGAGACACACACCATGACACAGAGACACACACAATGACACACACACACATTGCATGAAACAGACACACACACACACACACACACACACACCATGACACAGACGCACACACCATGACAGACAGACAAACACACACACACCATGACACAGACAGACACACACATTGACACACACCATGACATCATATTCCGGCCCCGGTCTCATTAAGCAGTGCGCTGGGGAGGGGGAGCAGAGACAGAACAGCCAGCTCCCCCTGCGGCCGCCAAAAGAGCTCCCTCTGCGGCCGCAGGTGAGCCAGCTGCCTGCCCGGCCCCGTGTCCAGACGGCCCACCGGGAAATTTCCCGGTATCCCGGTGGGCCAGTCTGCCCTGGCCCACAGGCACTGACAGGCGGCCACCAGCTGGGGAGAGAGACAGAAGAGGAGGACCCGGGGAATCTTGTGACCGTGAACTCACCACTATGACCACCAGTGATTCACCTCCACTACAATCACCAGGAATCCAAGGGATTCACCTCTAGGTCCCCCTTCAGAGGAAAAGATAAGAAGGGAGGGGGGATATAAAATATAGATTTTTTTAAAAATTAAAACATTTATGTATTACTTTCATCTTCCCCCCCCCACCACCACTGATCACTAAACGCACACACTTCATTCCTGACACACTGCACCCTTCACATACACTGCACCCTTCACACAGATACACACAGGCACACAGCACCTTTCAAACACACTGCACCCTTCACACAGACACACACATACACACAGCACCTTTCATACACACAGCACCTTTCATACACACTGCACATTTCACACACACACTGCACCCCTCTCACACACACACATGCACCCTTTCACACAAACACACTGCACTCCTCTTCCCCCCACTGCACACCAAACACACACACTAACTACACCCTTCACACACTGCACCCTTCATCCACACACACACACACACATTGCACTCACACACTGCTCCCTTCACACAGACACACTACACCTTTCATACACACATTGCACCATTCATACACACTGCGACTTTCACACACACTGCAGCCTTCACACACTGCACCACTCACACACATACACACTGCACCTCTCACATACATACATACAAACATACACAAACACACACACACATTGCACCCTTCAAGAGTATTGAACCAACATGCTCACTTTGGGAGGGGGCGTACTTGTCATTGGTGATGACAAAACACGCCCTCTCTGGCCCTGCCCCCTTCTCAGTTGGCCGCTGTGACTCAAAAATGCCTTCCCTGTTCCTGAGTATTTGCTTACATGTGCTAGTAGGAAAGTAATTCCTGTCCTATATGGGTCTCTGTGGTGTAACCAAAGCTACAGTCGCCCGGGAAAGAAATGTGCACCTCCATCTACCCTGGAACTCTCCCCCACCTCCCCCTTCACTCCCCCCTTACTACCCCCCCCTTAGTGCCATTCACCCTGTCACTCTGGTTGTTTGGTTAATTCAACATATGTAAAGACTATAGTATTTGTCAATAAAGAGCATTACATTGTTTATGAATAAACACTTATTGATGCAAGAGAAAAAAAACTACTAGTGACAAATGTAAGCATGTTTTGTTTGTCTGAATGTATGTACGTATTTGTGTGTAGTGTTGGCATTTGAATGCCGTTGTTTGTATGTACAATTGCTATTTGAAAGCAGTGATGCACTTGTGTTTAGTGCTTGTGTTTGAATGTGTTTGTGTGTAAAATTGGTGTTTCATTTTTGGGATGTATATACATACACTGGCCCACAAATACACACTGAAATACACACAGACACACACATTGACACATACACTGACATACATGTACACACTGACTCATACATGTATAGAAACACACCGACTCATACACACTAACACACACACACACAGATATACAGATGTGCACATACAGACAAAGATGCACACGTACACACACTGGCAAATATGCACACACATATAACACATATACATAAATCACACTTACACACATAGACACACACAGCTAACACATACACACACAGATAACACATACACACGTATACACACATATAGACATTTACACAAAAAGATTACAATTTACAGATTTTTAGCTACCCCTCTACTTTCATACCTTTCATACCAGGGACTTCCCTCGGGTCCATTGGCATCTGGCTGGGTCTGATGGGAGTCAGGTCCAGACTCTCCCTTCTCTCTGGTCCTTGCCTCTCTTACTCTCATGTGCGGCTCGTTCGTAAGCTGGGGGAAGTGCAATGTACTCACTTGCTCCCAGTACCTGACTGGGCCACTGATCAAACATGACTGTCGGAAGGCACTAAGTGCATGATGGGCAACTTGATGGGCCCATGCAGCTTGTTCCCCCTGATTTTAGCATCCTGGGCAGGCACACCGCCACTCCACCCGGTAGTTATGTCATAGTTGAGTCAAGTAGATTTAAAATCAATGTTAGCTCATTCTTTGTCTTTGTCAGGTTTATTTACTTAAATGAGAAATGTAAGGAATTTAGATTTTATTTAAGAAGTGGATTCTAGCGAACTATGTAAATTCTCCAAATCAAATATGTTTCCAGTTCAGCTACATATGCCTTACTTTGACATTCTCTTTGAATTCCCTTAAATTCCAGTCATTTCTTACTTTAGTAAATATTCCTGTTTGTCTTTTCAGTTTTGTATTGAATACCTGATATTCCTATTCTCATATTTTATTATGTTGGGGTTTGCTGATTTATTCCAAGTTGACTCCAAGCAAATTCTTTTCATTTTGAAGTTTGACATGGTGTTTCTTGGTTTCCTTTTTCTCATTGTCTCTCAGCTTGACCAGCTAAATCTGCGTTATAATATTTGTTGCCCAGCAATATGTCTCATTTTTCGACTACTTCATTGTCTTATATGTATGATTTTAAATAATATATTTACTAATGTTTATCATTAGATGAGGGGGGAGGTCTTTTTGTAGTAGTAGTATCATAAAGTATCAATAAACTGGAGCCCATACATCCCAACTAGGGAGATTACCTATTTTGGGCCTGTATTGCACTGCCCCTCATATTGTTGGTGTACCTGAGTATATAACAGCTCCACCACAATAATATTTACATTAGGCCACACCTAACCTGGGCTGTAAAATCCCTTTATATGTTCAAAGTTCAGGTAGTCTGGGATTTTAGACCCAATAACAATGCTAATAAAAACTAGAGCAATAAAAGGTTTTCTATACCATTATGACTGTGCCCCGGTGCACAACGCAAGGTCCATAAAGACCTGGTTGGATGAACTCAGTGTGGAATTTGACTGGTATACTTTGCTCAGCTGTTACTGTGAAGTCATATGTAAAAGTAGCAAATATCATGCTAAGAGCCTTAATGATGATATATATCCATATAGTTATGCAAACCAGTATAATCCAACAGATTTATTAGATACGTTTGCTGTCTGGTAATCGAAGGGTTGTGGGTATTTGGTTAACATAATGAATTTTTCACTAATGTAATTCATATTTTGCAGTATATTTAAATAGGGAACAGGTATGTAACTGCTGAATAGATCACAACAACTCAATGGTCTCACTATCACCTTAACCAGGATTGGGACGTCGAAGGGTAATCCAAGAAAGTGGGCAGCCGTGCTGCCTAGCCTACGCACCCTACCATTTTCCGTGCTTTTGGATAGAGTTTAGATAGAAAATAGGGTACCTGCTTAATGTTCCATCATTTACTGGTGATGGTTGAGAGGTTAATGTAATCTGAACTAGTGCATACTATCTTGTCCACACACTCTTCAACCCATCTTCTGGTCTGTGAGTGTCTATTGTAACTATATTTAGGAGGAAACGTCACAATGGTTTCTATTTCCTCTCACTCTTTGGTGGTAGATGAGGGATAAACCCAATCAAGCTGCAATGATCATTATAACGGGAAGATAGTATGACCCTCAGGGCTGAACTGGGCAAAGGCAGTTAAAGGCAGAGCAGCCCAACAACAGGGGTGGGACCAAAAGGGGAGGGTGTTATGTCAGCACAAATGACAAGCAAGCCATCCCAAAATTAGGATGTTAGTTTAATTCATCCAGGGCATCCCACATGCAGAACGCTGGTAAAGTGGTAACAGATGGGAAAATTACAATTTTTGTTTATGCGCAGCACAAACAAATTGAAAGATATGCATGTGTTGTGTTTGCTAGCGACTTGTCTCTGGTGCCTGCAACTGGGACAGGACTGGTAAAGAGTACTGAGCAAAATGTATTTTTATATGTTTGGAGGCTGCTTGTGTGATTGAACGTGTATGAAGAGGCTGTTTGTGGTGTAGTCAGGGCCGCCACCAGAAATTTTGGGGCTCCTGACAAAGCACAAGGTCTGGGCCCCCCACACTCTCCCCCCCGCCCAATGAATGCAGTGAGTGTTAGTGTAATGAATGCAGTGTGTGTGTTAGTGTAATGAATGCAGTGTGTGTGTGTGTGTTAGTGTAATGGATGCAGTGTGTGTCAGTGCAATGAACGCAGACTGTGTGTTAGTGCAATGAATGCAGTGTGTGTGTTAGTGTAATGAATGCAGTGTGTGTGTGTCAGTGTAATGAATGCAGTGTGTGTGTGTCAGTGTAATGAATGCAGAGTGTGTGTCAGTGTAATGAATGCAGAGTGTGTGTCAGTGTAGTGGATGCAGTGTGTATCAGTGTAGTGAATGCAGAGTAAGTGTCAGTGTAGGGAATGCAGTGTGTGTTAGTGTAATGAATGCAGTGTGTGTGTTAGTGTAATGAATGCACAGTGTGTGTTAGTGTTGTGGATGCAGTGTGTGTGTTAGTATAGTGGATGCAGTGTGTGTGTGTTAGTGTAATGAATGCACAGTGTGTGTTAGTGTTGTGGATGCAGTGTGTGTGTGTTAGTGCAGTGAATGCAGTGTGTGTGTTAGTGCAGTGAATGCAGTGTGTGTTAGTGTAGTGAATGCAGTGTGTGTGTTAGTGTTGTGGATGCAGTGTGTGTGTTAGTGTTGTGGATGCAGTGTGTGCGTTAATGTAATGAATGCAGTGTGTGCGTTAGTGTAGTGAATGCAATTTGTGTGTTAGTGTTGTGGATGCCTTGTGTGTGTCAGTGTAATGAATGCAGTGTGTGTGTGTGTCAGTGTAGTGAATGCAGTGTGTGTGTTAGTGTAGTGAATACAGTGTGTGTGTTAGTGTAGTGGATGCAGTGTGTGTGTCAGTGTAATGAATGCAGTGTGTGTCAGTGTAATGAATGCAGTGTGTGTTAGTGTAGTGAATGCAGTGTGTGTGTCTGTGTAATGAATGCAGAGTGTGTGTTAGTGTAATGAATGCAGTGTGTGTGTTAGTGTAATGAATGCAGTGTGTGTTAGTGTAGTGAATGCAGTGTGTGTGTCAGTGTAGTGAATGCAGTGTGTTAGTGTAGTGGATGCAGTGTGTGTGTCAGTGTAATGAATGCAGTGTGTGTGTCAGTGTACTATATAATGAATGCAGAGTGTGTGTTACTGCAGTGTGTGCAGAGTGTGTGTGTTAGTGTAGTGAATGCAGTGTGTGTGTTTACTAGTGTATGCATGTAATGTAATGAAAGTTATTCCCCCCTCCCTGTTTCTTACCTGGTCCAGGGAGGGGGGAAGATTCCATGATCCCTGGTGGTCCGGTGGCATGGTGGGGCCCCTGGCTCCCTATACTTGCAGAGGGGGCCCAGCAGACTGCAGCTGTACTTTACAGCATTTCCCTCGCTCTAACTCCCGCGAGACGTGGTGTGCGCGCCGCGTGGAGCGTTGCCATGGTAACCCTTAGCCCCCCTTAACGGCCGCACGTCTCGCGGGAGTTAGAGTGAGGGAAATGCTGTAAAGTACAGCTGCAGTCCACTGGGCCCCCTCTGCAAGTATAGGGAGCCGGGGGGGGGGGGTGGCCCGCGACTGCACCTATATATAGTGATCATCGCTATATATAGGTGCAGAGAGGCAATGTGGGGCCCTGGACTGCCAAAGCAGTCCGGGCCACCCAGGACCGCCGGGCCCGTGACAACCGTTATGGTTGTCACCCCCTGATGGCGGCCCTGGGTGTAGTGTATGTGTAAAGGGATCTGTTTGTAGTGTACTATGTGTGCCTGGGGGCTTTAGACTGTGTGTGTTTCTGGGCTGTAAACTATGTGTGCATATTTATATAGTGGCTGTAGAAATTGTGAGTTTATATAGGGCCTGCATAGTGCGTGTTTTTAATGGTTAATGTGTGTATCAAGGAGCTGCAGTATGTGTGTGTGTATAGGATTTCCATTGTTTGTGTATCTCTCTAGTGTGTTATATATATATATGTCTAGGTTTTGTAGTGCACATGTGTGCATAGGTACTGTGTGTATAGGGGGTATGTGCATATGGGATGTACTGGGTGTATAAAGGGTGTTTTACTAAAATAAGGCATAGTGTGTGAATCAGAAGTATATTATCTGTATAGGGGATATGGTGTGTGTTTAAGGAGTAAAGGGTGTTTATAGAGGTTATAGTCTGCATATAGTGTGTGTACAGAGTGTATAGAGAGAAAGTGTGTGAGTGGGGCTTTCACGAACTGACAGGAAGGTAAAAAGAACTCCTTACACAGCCCTGCCCTCCCTAACTTCACAGAGAGAGCATTGTGTTATGTGCCAATATCAGGTACAGACCACTTTCTTGATGACTCATAGCACCGGAGCAACAAGGACACTCTTAAAGTGATCTGTACACTTTACTAGTGCAGGTTAGGGAGCTCCCCACTGGACCACAAGAGAAGGTATCCAGAAGAGGTGGGGAGAACATACACACACAGAAAACACTCAAATACCACCCCCATGTGTACACAATTCAGCCACCATACAACTCTCAACCAACACACACAGACAACCTCAGCCTCCCTTATACAACTCTCAATCGCTTTCACACACTCACCAACTACATACACACATCACTCACAGAAACGGAGTCTAGGGCTCTAAGAGGGGGTCCCAATCCTGCACCTTTACGAGGGCCCTGGGTCACCTTAATCTGACTACACTTCCCCTGGAGATACTCATAAGACCTGTTCTTAGTAGATGATCATCAGTATAAATACTCATATGGCTTTGGAAAAAGACAGAAAGCCACAGTATTACTTGAGTTCAAATATTTCCCAGCTCTCAGCATCAGGGCTTCCATGCTCCTGCAGTCAAGTATGACCACAGTGTTTTTATTTTTATTTTGTATTCGTCTGATGACCTTGTTCCTGACAGAGACATTGTTTTGGGAAAAGAGGTAGTAAAAAGCCACGCTCAACTAAACAACCTCTGAATAGTTTAAAAAAATAAATGCAAACAGGTTAATAAACATGAACATGAGACAAACCAAAATCAAGGGAACTAAAATCAGAATAGTTCATTATCAGAACCAAATCAGAGAACCAGAAAACAGATTTGACAAACAAACCTGAGCACTTAAACCATGGAACTGAGCAAATACGCAGATACACCCAAAGCAAGGCAAACAGGAGGTTTATGTAGGGATGAGCATAGGTTCGAAAATAGAACTGATCACCACAATACGGTATCTGATAGGAAGCTTCACACAGAGTGCTCTTTTATGGAAATTGCACAAATTT